CAGCGCCCGGGTTTTCTGGGCCGTGCTATTTTTAATGGCCAACAGATCTTTGACTTGGCAGAAGAGTTGAGTTTCATAACAGCTCCTGGAACCTCATCCGTTTTTTGACCCCGTGACCGTTAATCCTGGAGACATCCCAGCGGGTCCAGATCAACCTCCCACTTATGTTGAAATTCCCAACCAGCTGCTCCTCCTCCGGTCTTTTATTGGCTCTGGACAGGCTGTCTCCTTCGCTCTTTGCCCAAAAGTATCGGACTGTGAAGGAGAACATCAGGGAGGGGGGTTGAAGATCTGCGTGAAGTCCATCGGTGCAGCCGATGAAAAACTTCCTTGGGGTCAAGGAGAAGAAACCTCATTTTTTTAGAAGCCTCAAGCAGTCCTTTCGCCCCCCCCTCCCGCCCCCCACCCTGCGACCTATGGATCAAGGGGCCTCTGATTTGGAGAAGCCCCCGGCCAGCACTTTCTCCGAGGAAGATCCAAAGACTTCGGCGCATCCATGTTGCAGGAAATTATGTCGGCTGATTCCTTCCAATTTCTGGGAAGAGGCGAAGAAGATTTTGGTGATGTCCGGGCCATTGGTGAGTCTTCTTCCATTTGCAAACTTGCAGCCTATCAGAGATGTTCTTGTTGGAGGTTTAGAAAAAGAAAAATCAGAATAACAGAATTGGAAGGGACCTTGGAGGTCTTCTAGTCCAACCCCCCTGCTCAGGCAGGAAACCCTATCATTTCAGACAAATGGCTGTCCAGTCTCTTCTTAAAAACTTCCAGTGTTGGAGCATTCACCGCTTCTGGAGGCAGGTTGTTCCACTGGTTAATTGTTCTAACTGGCAGGAAGTTTCTCCTTAGTTCCAGATTGCTTCTCTTCTTGATTAGTTTCCATCCGTTGCTTCTTGTCCTGCCTTCAGGCGCTTTGGAGAACAGCTTGACTCCCTCTTCTTTGGGGCAGCCCCTGAGATACTGGAACACAGCTATCCTGTCCCCCCTCGTCCTTCTCTTCATTAAACTAGACATACCCAATTCCAGCAATCGTTCCTTATATGTTTCAGCCTCCAGTCCCCTGATCATCTTTGTTGCTCTTCTCTGCACTCTTTCTAGAGTCTCAGCATCTTTTTTACATCGTGGTGACCAAAATTGGATGCTGTATTCCAAGTGTGGCCTTACCAAGTTTTTGTAAAGTGGTATTAACACTTCTCATGATCTTGATTCTCTCCCTCTGTTAATGCAGCTGTGGGAGAACAGCACCCCCCAGAGAAAGAAATATTTTGGGAATATTAAACGGCAGAATATTACATTTCCCCGAAGGATCTTAAAGGCAGAAAAGCAGGCCCAGTTTTCTTAATAGCCCCAGGCAGAGACCAGCTCTGTAGAAATGCTGATTTGGTGATTCATTCAGGAAGAGGAGAGCCAGGAACCTTGGAGATGATGAGATTAGAAAGACAAAGACCCCTAATATCTACACACACACACACCCAAATTCTAAAAACATGACCTTTAAGACATAATAGGATTAACCCACCACCATCAGAAAGGGGGGGGGGGAAACGGACCCAGGAAACTACAGACCAATCAATTAATAGAATAGAATAGAATAGAATAGAATAGAATAGAATAGAATAGAATAGAATATAGACTGGGAATTAGGAATAGAATAGAATAGAATAGAATAGAATAGAATAGAATAGAATAGAATAGAATAGAATAGAGTATAGATTGGGAATTAGGAATAGAATAGAATAGAATAGAATAGAATAGAATAGACCCTTGGAGGTCTTCTAGTCCAGCCCCCTGCTCAAGCAGGAGACCCTATACCAGTGGTTCTCAACCTTTTTAATGCCGCGACCCCCAACCGATCGTACGTCGAAGACTAAACCGGTCGTAAGTCAAGGACTACCCAACCGGTCGTAAGTCGAGGACTTTTCCTGCCCGGGAGCGCCGCACATGCATGGTTCTGCCCCCTGCGCCGGCCGAGGCATAGCTGGCAAGCGGCAGAGACGGAGCAGGCCGACCACCAGCTGGCCCAGCCCAAGGGAGGTAAGGCACCCACCGGAAAAGGGGAAAAAATGGCGGACAGCCTTGCTTGGCGACCCCTGTGAAATGGTCGATCGACCCCAAATGGGGTCGCGACCCATAGGTTGAGAACCGCTGCCCTATACCATCTCAGACAAGTGACTGTCTAGCCTCTTCTTAAAGACCTCCAGTGATGGAGCACCCACGATTTCTGGTGGCAAGCTGTTCCACTGGTTAATTGTCCTCACTGTCAGGAAGTTTCTCCTTAATTCCAGGCTGCTTCTCTCTTTCTTGTAAGAAAGTCCAGTAGCTTTTTGAAAAAGCATCTTGGAGATTTTATTTTATTTTATTTGTTAAATTTACCAGTTGTTTTTGGTCTAGCGGTCCCCAAACTGTCTTTAGCAACCAAACTCCAATATCTAGGAGGCTGCCATGATTAGGGGACTGGAGGCTAAAACATATGAAGAACAGTTGCTGGAACTGGGTTTGTCTAATTTAATGAAGAGAAGGACTAGTGGTGACATGATAGCAAATCTTCCCATATTTGAGGGGCTGCCACAAAGAAGGGGGGGGGGTCAGCCTATTCTCCAAAGCACTAGAGGTAGGACAAGAAAAACCGATGGAAATTAATCAAGGAAAGAAGCAATCTAGAACTAAGGAGGAATTTCCTGACAGCGAGAACAATTAATCAGTGGAACAACCTGCCTCCAGAAGTTGTAGGTGCTCCAACATTGGATATTTTAAAGAAGAGAATGATAGCCATTTGTCTGGAATGGTAAAGGGTCTCTTATATTAGGGGGCTGGACTAGAAGACCTCCAAGGTCCCTTCAAATGCTCTAATTCTGTTAAACTCTGTGATACAGCTCAGATTTGAGGTTAGATTTCATACTCTGAGACCTAGCCCATTGCTGAGCTGTGAAGCAAGCATCTACTGATCCAAATGTAGATTAATTCTGCCTGCTTGGGAGAGAAATTTCAGAAAGAGAGCTGTGTTAGTCTACAATGGTCAAAAATTAAGTGTCTGGTTTCAGTGTAAAAATTTCCTCTGGATTGCATTATGACCACATGTTAGTGGACCACCAAAAGGCTAAAGACTTTTACTGCCTTTTCTTTCTTAATCATTTGAGGTTTTCTTTTGAGATTAAGGTGGAAGCAAAGAGGTGGTTAAATTCAGAAAGACTGGAACAATTGGTTCAACCTACCCCCAGCATTAAACTGAATTATTGCAGGAGTTTAATCCAACACTGAGCTTTAAATTGCTTGGTTGGAATAGTTTAATCCAGGGGTTTTCAACCGTGGCAACTTTGAGATGGGTGGACTTCAATTCCCAGAATTCCCCAGCCAGCATTCCTTAAGATGGGTGGACTTCAACTCCCAGAATTCCCCAGTCAGCATTCCTTAAGATGGGTGGACCTCAACTCCCAGAATTCCCCAGCCAGCATTCTTTAAGATGGGTGGACCTCAACTCCCAGAATTCCCCAGTCAGCCTGCTTTAAGAGGGGTGGACCAGCTCCCAGAATTCTGCAGCCAGCCTGCTTTAAAATAAATGGACTTCAACCCCCAGAATTCCCCAGCCAGCCATGCTTTAAGAGGGGTGGGCTTCAATCCCAGAATTCCCCAGCCAGCCTGCTTTAAGAGGGGTGGACTTCAACCCCCAGAATTCCCCAGCCAGCCATGCTTTAAGATGGTGGACTTCAACTCTCAGAATTCCAGTTTGCTGGAAGATGGGTGGACTTCAACTCAGCCCAAGTCGCCACAGTTCAAAAACACTGCGAATTCACTGCGAACATTAATATTGCTATTATTCCAGCTTTTGAACCTACTGCATACTTAAAGATCCATGACTCCAGATGTTTCAAAGCCCACCTGGATGGCCTGTACCACACCTCTAGGTGGCGATTTGAAAAGTCCCCAATCTTCACCTTCCCCCCTCCTCATTTTTCTTCCCCTAGACGGTGATTCAGCTCTTGGTGTTTATGATCCACGTCGTCAGTACGATATTCTGCGGCCACATGGGCAAAGTTGAGTTGGCTTCCGTCACCCTGGCCATCGCGGTGAGTTTTCCTTTTCATGTGTTCTCCCCCCCCCCATCTTCCTCGGGTGGTAGCTTCCAAATGGCTGGCCTCTAAAAGCTAAACAGAGTCAGCCCTGATTTCTGCTTGGATGGGAGACCACTAGGAAAGCCTAGCCTTGGAGGCTCGACTGGGAAGTTGGAAAAAAACAGAGTCGCCTTTTGACGAGATGGATGGCAAATAAATTTAACAAACCAACCAACAAATAATAAATAACATCCCAGAAGAGAATGACAAATGTCTTCTATATATTTTTTTTACTCCTAAAATAAGGGGGATATTATCCATTAGATTTCTTGAGAGTCAACAAGCCTGACTTGAAAGATAGCTAGTCCTCGTTAGCATAGAATCGTTCATTTAGCAACCGTTCCAAGTTACAACGGCATTGAAAAAAGCGATTTACCATTGGTCCTCACACAACCGTCGCAGAATTCCGCCACGGTCACATGATCAGAATAAAGACGTTTGTCTACCACCGTGTATTTACAACGGTTGCAGCGTCCCCCATGGTCACGTGATTAAAATTCACCTGCCACCAGCAAGATTAGCAAAAATGTTTAAAAATATGTCAGATAGATGTTGGAAATGTAAACGTAAGTCAGGCACGTATTATCATGTTTGGTGGACATGTGATAAAGTAAAGAATTATTGGAAAAAGATACATACTTGGTTAGAAAAGATGCTGGGAGAACATATAAATCTCAAACCTGAACTTTTAAAATTAGATATAATGCCAGAAAAGACTAACAAACAAAGCCTATATTTGATTTTACACATCACAACAGCGGCAAGAATAATATTTGCGCAATATTGGAAAAATGAAGGCATGCCATCAGATGAAGAAATAATTAAAAAAATACTAGAATGCGCAGAGATAGACAGATTGACTATGAGACTGAAAGAAAAAGAAGAAACAGAATATTATCAAACTTGGGACTTATTTTACCGATGGTTAGATGAAAGAATAAAGGATTAGGAATTAAATATGTATAATAATAATAATAATAAAGTTGGAAGGGACCTTGGAAGTCATCAAGTCCAACCCCCTGCTCAGGCAGGAAACCCTATACCATTTCGGACAAATGGCTGTCCAGTCTCTTCTTAAAAACTTCCAGTGTTGGAGCATTCACCGCTTCTGGAGGCAGGTTGTTCCACTGGTTAATTGTTCCGTCAGGAAGTTTCTCCTTAGTTCTAGATATTAGCGTACTTAAACTCAGACAGCACGTTGGTTGAAAAATTATTATTGTATGTATGGAAAAAATTAATAAAATCTTAAATCAGAAAAAAAAAATTCAGGTGCTTATGACGGTCGCAGTGTCGCGGGATCACGTGATCCCCTTTTGTGACCTTTGGACAAGCAAAGTCAGTGAGGAAGCCGGATTCAACTTAAGGACCGTGTGACTAACTTCACACTGCAGCCATTTTAACCACTACGATCAGAAAGGTCATAAAATGGGGCAAAATCTACTTAGCATCTGTCTCGCTTAGCAACGGAAATTTTGGGCCTTAAGCCATAAGTACACGCCAGTTGCCCAGCATGTGAATCCCGATCACGTGATAAGTTACTTTTTTCAGTGGTATTGTCACTTCAAACGGTCACTAAGCAAATCATTATAAATCGAGGACTACTTGCAATCAGATACAGGCTGTCCTCAACTTACAGCAGTTCATTTAGCGACCGTACAAAGTTACAACAGCATTGGAAAAGCGACTTAGGACCCTTTTTCACACTTACGACTGTAGCAGCACAGCATCCCGGAGGTCCCGTGATCAAAATTCAGACGCTTGACAATTGACTCATACTTACGATGGCTGCAGTGTCCCGAGGTCATGTGATCCCCTTTTGCAACCTTCTGACAAGCAATGTCAATGCCAGATTCACTTAACAACCGGGTTCCTCACTTAATAGCCGCAGTGAAACTGTGGCAAGCAAGGTCGTAAAATGAGGCAAAACTCACTTAACACCTGTCTGATTTAGCAACAGACATTTTGGGCTCAATTGTGGTCGTAAATTGAGGACTTCCTGTACAGCAGTCAGGGTGGCAATCTTTTCAATGGGGAGATATTTTGCAGATCTTTAAAGAGTTCCGCCAGTTTTGTGTTATTGCTGTGAAGATATAGCTGTAACTAGAAATTAAAAGGTGAGTTTTGAGTTTAAAATGTAAATTTTACAAAAAACAGAGCACTGATAGAGGTAGTCCTCGCATTACGATCACAACTGAGCCCAAAATTTAGGCTGCTAAGTGACACGTTTTTTAAGTGAGTTTTGCCCCATTTTAGGACTTCTCCTGCCACAGTTGTTAAGTGGATCACTGCAGTTGTTAAGTTAGCAACACAGTTGTTAAGTGAACCGGGCTTCTCCCATTGACTTTGCTTGTCAGGTGGTCGCAAAAAGGGATTCACGTGATCCCAGGACGCTGCGACCGTCATAAATATGAGTCAGTTGCCAAGTATCTGTATTTGTGACCGTGGGGATGCTGTGACAGTTGTAAGTTTGAAAACCGGTCTTAAGTCAGGTACTCCTCAATTTACAACCACAACTGAGCCCCAGGTTTCTCTTGTTAAGTGAGACATTTGTTTTGCCCCATTGTACGACCTTTTTTGTCACTGTTGTTAAGTGAATCACTGCAGTTGATTAGTTAATCATCCGGTTGATAAGTGAATCCGACTTCCCATTGACTTTGCTTGTCAGAAGGTCGCAAAAGGGAATCGCGTGACCCCGGGACACAGCGACCGTCATAAATATGAGTCAGTTGCCAAGCAGCTGAATTTTGATCACATGACCACGAGGATGCTGCCATGGTCATTAAGTGTGAAAAACGGTCCTAAGTCACGTTTTTCAGCACCGTTGTAACTTTGAATGGCCACTAAATGGACGGTTGTAAGACGAGGACTGCCTGTATTAGGATTAAAAGAGGGATTAAACCTTAACCTCTTTTATAATCCCCCTTATGATTCTGGATAAGAATAGCTGCAGGTATCTGGATAATCTCCAGGTTTTCTAAAATTTTCCTCCTGTCTATTTCTTACTGTTTCTAGGTGATTAATGTGACCGGCATTTCTATAGGTTTTGGGTTGTCCTCGGCTTGCGACACATTAATATCTCAGGTAAGTCACAGTTTGAGGGGAGATGTGGGGGGTGACGAAATATATATGATCTGCTATGGCAGGGGTAGGCAACCTTGGCCCTTTTATGACTGGTGGACTTCAACTCCCAGAATTCCTGAGCCAGCCATGCTGAGGGGAAAGGGAGAGGTTTCCATGCTGAGCCAAGGTGGCTCAGGAATTCTGGGAGTTGAAGTCCACCAGTCATAAAGCGGCCTAGGCCTAGGCCAGAGGTAGGCAACCTTGGCTCTTTTATGACTCGTGGACTTCAACTCCCAGAATTCCTGAGCCAGCCATGCTGAGGGGAAATGGAGAGGTTTCCAAGCTGAGCCATGCTGGCTAAGGAATTCTGGGAGTTGAAGTCCACGAGTCAAAAGAGCCAAGGTTCCCCACCCCTGTGCTATGGAAGGCAGCCGAGCATGAATGGGAAATTCTGCGTTTCTCTCAAAGCTCAGATACCGAAAGAATGTCGGCCATTTTCCTGATTTTTTCCTGCATTCAGGATGTTTGGAAGGGCTAAATCTGGGGTTCAGCCCCATCGAAACCCAGAAGAGTGGGGTTTTTCTTTTCCTGCAAAAGAGATTCCCTGTTCTCTTTTGCTATTGCATTATTCGAACGTGCTCCTGAGACAGTCACAGAAGAATTGCTTAACTGTAGGGGTCTCTGGTGCTCTTTGAGCTTGGTGGTTTTCTTGCAGACGTTTCAGGGCCCAACTAGGTAACGTCATCAGGGCTAGAAGAGAGTGGGGTTTGTGGAGAGGAGGAAGAGGAGGAGGAGACTGTGGGGTCCTTGATACTGTCTGAGCTTGGTGGTTTTCTGGCAGACGTTTCATTACCCAACTAGGTAGTATCATCAGTGAAGGGAGGGAGTGGGCTTTGTGGAGAGGATGAGGAGGAAGAGGAGGAGGACTGTGGGGCCCTTGGTGCTCTCTGAGCTTGGATGTTTTCTTGCAGACGTTTCATTGCCCAGCTAGGTAACATCATCAGTGTTAGAAGGGGGTAGGGTTTGTGGAGAGGAGGAGGAGGAGGAGAACAACTGTGGGGTCCTTGGTGCTCTCTGAGCCTGGTTGTTTTCTTGCAGACGTTTCATTACCCAACTAGATAGCATCATCAGTGCTGGAAGGGAGTGGGGTTTGGGGAGAGGATGAGGAGGAAGAGGAAGAGGAAGGGGAGGAGGACTGAGGGGTCCTTGGTGCTCTCTGAGCCTGGTTGTTTTCTTGCAGACGTTTCATTACCCAACTAGATAATACCAGCAGTGCTAAAAGAGAGGGAGGTTTCGAGATAGAAATACTGTGTAGATCAGAGGTCTCCAACCTTTCTCGATTGGCGGACCGGAGGGAAAGGGAGGGGGAAGCATTTTACGTGCGTGCACACACAAACACAAAAAGGGCCGCGAGCATGTGTGACGCAAAAGGGGTGGTGCTAGCACTATGTGACACTCACTAGCACCACCCTGTTTTTGCTGTGTGGGTGCTAGCACCGTCCCGTTTTCGCTGCACAGTGTCCTGTTTTTGCCATAGCGACAGCGCTAGCGTGAGTGGGGGTGAGTGTGCGCACACACGTGTGCACAGTGGCTAACCTGTTCACGGCCCGGTGGCCAGGAGGCCACAGCCCGGTAGTCCCCACAAGTTGGAGACCCCTGCTGTAAATAGATAGATGGATGGATGGATGGATGGATGGATGGACGGACGGACGGACGGACGGACGGACGGACGGACGGACGGACGGACAGACAGACAGATAGATAGGTGCCGGGTGGGCGTGGCCCATTAGGTGGGTGTGGGTGTGATGGTAACGGCAGACTGGGTGGGACTAAAAAGTTCAATCAATCAATTCCAACTATGCAAGATCTTTTTTTCCCCCACAAGTTGAAATTGACTGATTGATTGAACCTTTTTTTTTTTTGCAAATGGCGGTGGAGGCCTAAAGCGAAAAGGTTTTATAAAACCCAGCTGAAGGCCTAGGACTGGGGCGACGGTGTGTGTGCCCATAGGGAGGGCTCTGAGTGCCGCCTCTGGCACCCGTGCCATAGGTTCGTCATCACTGATATAGATATAGATAGCTAAGAGACAGATAATAGATAATAGATAATAAATAGATAATAGATAGATAGAGATGGATGGATGGATGGATGGATGGATGGATGGATGGATGGATGGATGGATAGATAGATAGATAGATAGATAGATAGATAGATAGATAGATAGATAGATAGATAGATAGATAGATAGACAGATGATAGATAGATAGATAGATAGATAGATAGATAGATAGATAGATAGATAGATAGATAGATAGATAGATAGATAGATAACCAATCAGATGATGACTGTGGAAGGAGGATTGACAGATCCTGGAGGTGGAGGAAAAACAGGAATCACCCTAGCATCCTTACATAGCCACAAACAAACTGAGTGCAGCCTTCCTTGATTTCCATTGATGTTTATCTCGCTCCTGGCAGAAGCTAACCACTGGTCAGGAAGATTCGTACGCCTAGGCTTTCAGCAATAAATCAGTTTCGTTGGTCTTTCACGTGTGCCTCTGGCTTTTCTCCTTCTTCTTCCAGACTTACGGCGGGAAGAACATGAAACGGGTGGGCACCATCCTCCAACAAGGGGTCCTGATTCTTCTCCTCTGCTGTTTCCCATGCTGGGCGTTTTTCATCAACACAGAACAGCTCCTCTTGTTGATCCGGCAGGATCCGGAAGTCTCCAGGTGAGAGAAGGAAATCTGTCTTCCGAGTTAAAGCAATATGGCGGGTGTGTTCTATCCCAGCCTAGGTGAGTCCTTGTTAACTCACAAGGACAAACCCCTCTTTTAGCCAGTAGGCTGGAAATGCAGGAAAAACAAACCCCTTTTATTAATTAGGTACAGTCCTGCAAAATGTCGCAAAAGCAAAGGCAAACAGAACACGATTCAAACGGATAATTATTCACAGGCAAGACGAGCAAAACAGGATTCCATGAAACTGGAGTCCTTTGCAAAGGGTTGCCTTCAGCAACCAGCACCGCCCACACCTTCTCTTTTTATTATGCAGCCCCAAGGCGTGGCTTCTCAATGCCTTCTCCTCCTCCCTTGGAGTCGCACCATTGCCTCCCTCTGTCCTGCTCTTGTTGCCTGTCTGCATTTGCGAGCGTCTATGACAGGGCTTTTCAACCTTTTCACCCCTTGTACCACTTTTAGGATATGACAACATCCGAGAACCACCAGTCGCCTAGCAAGGTGTCAAAAACTTGATGACCCATAAAAAAAAAGGAAAAAAGTGATAAAGTACAGGTAGTCCTCGACTTACAACAGTTCGTTTAGTGACTGTTCAAAGTTACAATGGCACTGAAAAAAGTGCCCCCCAAGCCACAGCCAAGCAAGACACCTGCCTGCCCGCCCGGCAGCGCTCTTCCTCCTGTCCGAGGTTTCCATTGTTGTGAGCATTTCTATTGAGGATTGGCAGTGGGGGTGGGGTGGGGGGGTGTTTGGTTTTTATTCCCCCCGTCTGCTGGGTGGTTGCAGCAGGTTTTGGTCACTTCACATGACCCTGGGACACTGTGACTGTCATAAATATGAATCAATTGCCAAGCATCTGAATGTAAAGCACAAGACCCTGGAGATGCTGCAACATTCCGACTGATCGACGCTTCTTCTGGGCTCAGCAGAAGCGCCAGGATCAGTACCGAGCTCCAGCTGGAGCCTGGCGCTGATCCTGGCGCTTCCACTGAGCCCTGACAGCCCCGAAGAAGCGCCGATCAGCTGGAAAACGGCACTGATCCTGGCGCTTCCGCTGAGCCCTGACAGCCCTGACAGCCCTGCAGCTCCAGCCGTCTCTCGCTCAGGCTTGTGCGGTGCTGCCACCGGTTCAGCTCATTCCCCTCCCCCACCACCACTTTTTTGGGATGGTCGCGTACCACCTGCCAGGTGCCAATGTACCACAGGTGGTACCCCTACCCCTGGTTGAAAAGCCCTGGTCTATGATGTCTTCCAGCTGTGAGTCCTCAGAGTCTGACTCAGCTTGAGCACGAGTGGAGGGGTCTGGCTCTTCATCAGATTGTAAGTCCTGGAGCTCATCGGAGCCTTCCTCCGACTCTGATGGCTCTCCAGGCCCCTCCTCCTCTTCCTCCTCCTCTGATTCCCCGGACTCAGCTGCCGGGTTCACTGGCTGACACGGAATCACAACAGGGTGGGACTGTGGATTTTGGGCCTTGCAGTATGAGCTGGGTGGGAGTTCCCCTGTGGACGGCTATAACTGGGGGGTTAAAAATTCTTCTCGGACTATTTTGTCAATGAGGTCCTTCTCTGGATCGTCTTGAAGATGATGGAAGAGACCAGTGGTGGCGAACCTATGGCACGCGTGCCAGAGGCGGCTCTCAGAGCCCTCTCTGTGGGCACGCGCACCATGCCCCGGAGATGGCAACCATCCCTCTTCAACCAGCCACCCGCTAAGTCGCCGAGGTCCCACATGTCCGGATGCTTCCTAGCACGGCTGGTTTCCCTCCTCCCCCCATCCCATCCCTCCTGGCCTCGCATGCTCTCCTTTTCCCGGGCACGACCCACTGCATCGCCTTCTCAGCTGTCGGCCGGCCATCCAGCTCAGAGGCGGCTTCTCTGAATTGCGGGCGGTGGGCTGCGGAGCCCCAGAGTGCACTGGTCGACGGGCCGGCAGGCTGTGGCTGCTGACAGACACTGTCGGCCCCCATGCGCTTGCTGGCCTTTGTGTGTGTGGACCGATGGTGTCAGGCAGCAGCCGCCCCGGCCCTTGCCTCACCTTGCCCTGTGACAATGGCACCCCCGTCCTGTCTCACCTTGCTTCGCCTCACCTTGCAGGACGAGCCTCCTGCCCACCGCCCCACCTGCCAGAGACCCCCTGGGATCTCCCCCAACCCTGCCCGGCCCTCACAGGCATCCCTTCCCATGAGCAACATCGAGGTGATCCTGCCCACCTTGGCCACACCCACCCAGTCTACCATGACCACCACAGCCACGCCTACCAAGTGGGCCGTGCCCACCTGGCACCCGGCGATAAATAAGTGGGTTTTGGGTTGCACTTTGGGCACTCGGTCTCTAAAAGGTTCGCCATCACTGGAATAGACTTAACGGTAGTCCTTGACTTACAACAGGTTCACTTAGTGACTGTTCAAAGTTACAACGGTCTGCTGAAAAAAAAGTGACCTACAACCTTTTTTCACCCTTACAACCGTTGCAACCTCCTCATGGTCACGCGGTCAAAATTCGGACGCTCGGGAACTGACTCGTATTTATGATGGTCGCAGTGTCCATGGGAGGTCAGGTGATCCCCTTTTGCGACCTTCTGATAAACAAGGTCACTAGGGAAGACAGATTCACTTCACAACCGCGTTACTCACTTAACAACTGCAGTGGTTCACTTAACAACTGTGGCAAGAAAGGTCGTAAAATGGGGCTCGCTGAACAACTGTCTCGTTTAGCCATAGAAATTTTGGACCCAATTTGGTCGTAATTCGAGGACTATCTGTATGTCATGCTGCAAAGGACTGGTCAGGGAATTCTGGGAGTTGAAATCAAGATGGCTCCTGAATGAGAGGCAAGGTTTCAGTCACGTTATTGCAGGCGCCATCTTGATTTTTTTGGCTATCCTCTCACACACCTTTGACTCCGGCCATGATTACAATTGATGTAGTGTTTTTCATTTGCTTTCTGATTGCTACAGCCAATGTCTGTGCTTTTCTCTCTTTTTCAAATGACTAAAGACCATCCCTTAAAAATTCATACCTATGAAGAACATCGCTTCAAAGTTTTAATCAATAAAGGATTCAAAATTCGCACTGAGCTGATTCGTTAAAAATTCAAAGTTAGGAACATCATTCAAAATTCACATTAATTAAATCATTGAAAATTCAAATCAAGAAATAGCACCCATTCAAAATAGAAGTGGTTCAAAGTTCAAATCTATAATGAACATCTATTCAAAATTAAAATCAATTAAGAAATCTATGCATAATTCCCATTAATTAAGAATATTCATTCAAAATTCATATCAGTTAAGAACATCGAAAATTCACATCAGTTAAGAACATCGAAAATTCACATCAATTAAGAAATCATTCAAAATTCACATCAGTTAAGAATATATATTCAAAATTCACATCAATTAAGAAATCTACTCATAATTCACATCAGGTAACAATATCCATTCAAAATTCACATCAATTAAGAAATCTACTCATAATTCACATCAATTAAGAATATCCATTCAAAATTCATATCAATTAAGAACACATTCAAAATTCACATCAGTTAAGAACATCAAAAATTCACATCAGTTAAGAAATCGTTCAAAATTCACATCATTTAAGAATATCTATTCAAAATTCACATCAGGTAACAATATCCATTCAAAATTCACATCAATTAAGAATATCCATTTAAAATTCACATTAAGAATATCCATTCAAAATTGCCACCAAGTAAGAATATCCATTCAAAATTGCCCTCAGTTAAAAACAATCGTTCAAGACTGACATCACGTATGGTAAGAACAGCCATTCAAAATGTCTAGTCTTTCACAAGATCAGGTCATCCCTCATAAGATTTACCACAAAACTGGACCTTTTGAAGTTAATTGAATAGAGTTTAATATTTTTTTTAAACAATATTTATTTATTCTTTAAAGTTTGAGGCCTGTCACAAGATAGGCCTTCTCCAACTATTTCTCACAAGAAAAAGGCTACTTCAAAGCATGAGATTTTATTTTAAGACAGCCGTGAACATAATGGCAGAATCGAATAATTGCAAATTTATTTATGCCATTTTTTTTTCCTTTCCAGGCTCACTCAGGTTTACGTCATGATCTTTATCCCGGCACTGCCCGTAAGTTTCCGGCTTTTTCTTTGACTTTCTTCCATAGGGTCAGGGAAGAATGGATAGCTTCTCTTTTTTTTAACATATATATATATACAGGAAATCCTCAGTTTACTACCACAACTGAGCCCAAACTTTCTGCTGTTAAGTGAGACATTTATTAAGCGAATTTTGCCCCATTTTACGGCCTTTCCTGCCACAGTTATTAAGTGAATCACGGCAGTAATTAAGCTACTGACATGGTCGTTAAGCGAATCCGGCTTTCCCGTTGACTTAGCTTGTCAAAAGGTCACAAAAGGGGATCAAGTGACCCTGGGACACTGCAACCGTCGTAAATACCGGTCAGTTGCCAAGCGTCTGAATTTTGATCACGTGACTATGCCAGGGGGGGAACGCTGCAACGGTCATAAGTGTGACAAAGGGTTCATAAGTCCCTTTTTTCAGTTCCGTTGTAACTTTGAACAGTCACTAAGTGAAATGTTGTAAGTCAGGGACTATCTGTGCAAGACTGTGCATGGTTTGTGCTTGTTTGTACACACAGCGCTGCATTCAGGGGGTCTGAAACAACCAAAGTTGAAGTCCTCGATTTACGACCGTAAGGCAGCCTGCCCATTGGGGTTATCAGTCACAGCGATCGTAAAATGGGTCAGCCATAGGACCGACCTGATTTCCTGACCTGCTTTGCAGAGGTCATTAAGCGAACACAGTGGTCGTGAAGTTGCTCCAATGGCCCTTAAGCAAATACCGCGGACTCAAGCCAACCACCGGTTCATGATGGAGGCGGTTTTGTCAAAAAAAACCCCAGCAGATTTGGGCAAAAGCGTCGTAAAATGAGGACATGTGACTACAGGATGCTGCAAACAGATGTAAAAGCAGTCCGGTTGCTTAGCAACAGAGGTCTGGTCATGTGACTGCAGCTGTCAGAACTTCAAATCCACATCATAAGGGCCCTCCCCCCCAGATAGGTCCGTTGTAACTTTGAACGGTCACTAAGTGAACGGTCGTAAGTCGAGGACTACCTGCCAGCGGGTTTTTTCCCCCTTTTTAAAAAAAAAAATAGCAGCAAGAGCTTTTATTTGGGTTATAATCCCTGTATTTTCTTAACCTGCTTCTGAATTTCACACATTCGTGCTTAAAAAAAAAGCTAAATTTTCACCGCAAATTTTAGCCAATGTTATTCTCTAGGAGAATCTTGAGGGTTTTCAAGGATTGGGCTGTGGGTCAGATACTGCAGGAAGTCCTCGCCCTACAACGGTTCATATAGTGACCTTTCAAAGTTGCAGCAGCACTGAATGATGGGACTTAGGACCGTTTCTCATACTTACGACTGTTGCAGCCTGCCCAGGGTCACGTGATCAAAATTCGGACGCTTGGCAACTGACTCATACTTGTGACGGGGTCACGTGACCCCCTTTTGCGGAGTCCCGGGGTCACGTGATCCCCTTTTGCGACCTTCTGACGAGCAAGGTCCATGCCAGATTCACTTAACGACGACGTTGCTAACTGCAGTGATTCACTTAACAACGGTGGCAAGAAAGATCGTAAAATCAGGCAAAATTCACTTAACAAAGGTTTCACTTAGCAACAGAAATTTTGGACTCAATTGTGGTCGTAAGTCGAGGACTACCTGCATTTCTAATTGGGAGTCATGTTTGCATGCTAGTTATAAACTACATTTCCCATCTGCCCCCTTTGGCAACTCATTAGCTATGCAAGGGGGCAGGGACAATGAAATGATCTTTCCCACATTTGCATTGGATAGAATAGAATAGAATAGAATAGAATAGAATAGAATAGAATAGAACCATTTCTGACAGCTGGCAGGTTGAATTCCAGCAGGTAAAGCTTTCCACAATTCTTCCCTGAAACTCAGAAGCTGTACCAGTGGAACTTCTGCCTGGAACAGTGGTAGATTCTTCTACTGAGCCTAGGATTGATCTAGTGACTAGTCAGTACTTCTCCCATCCTAGCAAGTTTAAGATGTATGGACTTCAACTCCCAGAATTCCCCAGCCAGCATGGCTGGCTGGGGAATTCTGGGAGTTGAAGTCCATACATCTTAAACTTGCTAAGATGAGAAACAGTGGTCTAGACCAGGGGTCTTCAAACTTGGCCCTTTTATGACTTGTGGACTTCCACTCCCAGAATTCCTCAGCCAGGTACGCTGGTTCAGGAATTCTGGGAGTTGAAGTCCACAAGTCATAAAAGGGCCAAGTTTGAAGACCCCTGCTCTAGAATGTCTTCCAATCTATGCATTCAGGATGCAACAATTTTATAGCTGGCAGTGCTTAGAAAAATGCCAATCCCTTTGTTTTGGGCCAATTCGACGACAAATTAACGAATCTTACTTTTTCCTAATTGCTTTTCCCCCCCTTTTTTTGTTTTTCTGCATCTCGCAGGCAGCCTTTATTTACCAGATCCAAATGCGGTATTTGCAAAACCAGGTAAATACATTCCTTTCCTTCCTCCCTTCCTTAGCCGTTTGCATCTCTTTGCAAGCGACAGCTTGGGACCATATCTTACAGAACAACAGAATAACAGAGTTGGAAGGGACCTTGGAGGTCTTCTAGTCCAACCTCCTGTTCGGGCAGGTTGTCCCATCTCTTTTTTAAAAACTTCCAGTGTTGGGATGGAAGGGCTGGATCCTAACAAAGCAACTTGATCTTCTAGCCCAGGGGTAGGCAACCTTGGCAATTTTATGACTCGTGGACTTCAACTCCCAGAATTCCTGAGCCAGCATGAGGGAACTATGGCCCCTTCATGACTCGTGGACTTCAACTCCCAGAATTCCTGAGCCAGCATGGGGGAACTGTGGTCCCTTCATGACTTGTGGACTTCAACTCCCAGAATTCCTGAGCCAGCATGGGGGAACTATGCCCCCTTCATGATTCGTGGACTTCAACTCCCAGAATTCCTGAGCCAGCATGGGGGAACTATGGCCCCTTCATGACTCGTGGACTTCAACTCCCAGAATTCCTGAGCCGGCATGGCTCAGCATGGAAACCTCTCCCTTTCCCCTCAGCATGGCTGGCTCAGGAATTCTGGGAGTTGAAGTCCACAAATCATAAAAGAGCCAAGGCTGCCTACCCCTGTATCTAGCCCAATAACCATAAGGGGCGGGGACAAGAAATTGGTGATCCACGTTGCTATGGTTCTGCCAGAAGGCATCCCGTGGTATCCCTTGAACTGTCATAATAAAATAAAATAATATTTCATTGCAGAAAATCATTTGGCCAGAGGTTTTTTGTGGCATTGCTGCAAATATTATCAACGTCCTGGCGAATTATATTTTCCTTTACCAATTCCACATGGGCGTTCGGTAAGTAGGCTGTTTAATACAAAAATGTCTATTTCCACAGGAGGCTGGCTTCTGCTTCCCTTTCTTGGGTCGGAGTTGTTTTTGCCAAGTGATTTTTTTGGGGGGAAACTGGATATCAGTTGCGGGTTTTAGCAGAAGATGGTCGATCAAGCCACGGATGAAGTGAATTAGAATTCATCAAACTCTGCAAAACTCAACCACAGCCCGTCCTCGATTTACAACAGTTCATTTAATGACCGTTCAACGGCATTGAAAAAAGTGACTGACGACCGTTTTTCACACTTGCAGCATCCCCAGGGTCATGTGATCAAGATTCAGATGCTTGGCAACTGGCTCGTATTTACGACGGTTGCTGTGTCTCAGGATCGGGTGATCCCCTTTTGCGAGCTTCTGACAAGCAAAGTCCCTGGGGGAAGCCAGGTTCACTTAACAACCGTGGGACTAACCGAATATCTGTAGTGATTCACTTAACAACTGTGGTGAGAAAGGTCGTAAAATGGGGCAAAAAACTGTCTCGCTGACAGACGTTTCGCTTCTCCTCCAAGAAGCTTTTTCAGCTCTGACTGGGATGGTGGGGAATGGAAGGATTTATACTCCTTGCAGAAAGCTGGTTATTTGCCTTCTTTTAGAGAGTCGTTGAGGCCACTTGGAGGTTTATCTTTGTCTGGCTGGTTTGAAAGAGGGGTCAAAGAGGCCATTATATCAAAATTGAACAGCCCTCCCTCAACAGAGGGGGAGAGACACGATATCGTCTATGTCCAGTCGACAACACAGTCCTTTCAGCAGTCCCAAGAAGGCTCCACATCCATTTACACCACTCAGGTGACCCTGAGGACACAGGTAAACCTCCAAGTGGCCTCAACGACTCTCTAAAACAATGCAAATGACCAGCTGTCTGCAAGGAGTATAAATCCTTCTATTCACCCACCATTCGGTCAGAGCTGAAGAAGCTTCTGGGATGAAAAGCGAAACATCTTCAAAGATTAAAAAGAAAATCCAGTTGCCTCTTGAAAAAACACCTTTGGGGTAAACGATGACCTGGATGACTGAGAATCTCCATCAACATTTATGGATGTGGTCATGAATTTTGCAATTTTACAACCTTTTCTGCCACCGTTGTTAAGTGAAGCATGTGGTCATTAAGCGAATCAGAAGGTCCTTAAGCAACTCCTGGTCCTCCCATTTCCTTTTCTTGTGGGAAGACCCCTGGGAAAGTCCAATCCTGCACTTTTCCTAAACACAGGCCGGTTGCCCCGCGCTCAGATTTGGATCCGGTGACCCTGGAGACACTGTGACCGTCGTAAGTGTGAGGACTCTCTCTTTTCAGTGCCGCTGTGACTTCAGATGGACAAATGAAGGGTCGTGAGTCAAGGATTAGAGATGGGGAAGCCAGGAAAAAACTGGAAAAATTGGGGGGGGAAAAATCCAGGTTTTTTTCTGTTTTTTTTGAACGCCATTTGGGGGGGGGGGGAAATGGGAAGAAAATCTTTTTTTTTTCCCTCCAATTTTTCCAGGCCTTCCCATCTCTATCAAGGCTTAGGTGTGTTGAAATTCCTCTCCCTCAAATTCACGGGCAAAGCAAATCGAGAGAGGCTTGAAAGTGACCCGGTGTGAATATTCACAAAACCGACAAAAACCCAAAGCAATGTTTTAAAAGATTTTCCGCCAATTTCTATTCTGATGACCTGCATTTTTTTTTCTTCCCTCAAAGAGGGTCCGCCTGGGCCAACACCATCGCTCAGTATGCTCAAGCCATCAGCCTCTTTCTCTACATCAAGTGGAAGAAGCTTCACGTCGAAACCTGGGGAGGTGAGACCCCCCCATTATAGGCAAGAGGAAGGGTGGGGTGGGGTCTTTCCTTGCTTGCTCCACTGCCAGACTCTCATTGCCGACTTCTCAATTAGAGGATTAATTAGAGAGCCAGTTTGGTCTAGTGCAGGGGCAGGCAACCTTGGCTCTTTGATGACTCGTGGACTTCAACTCCCAGAATTCCTGAGCCAGCATGGGGGAACTATGGCCCCTTCATGATTTGTGGACTTCAACTCCCAGAATTCCTGAGCCAGCATGGGGGAACTATGGCCCCCTTCATGACTTGTGGACTTCAACTCCCAGAATTCCTGAGCCAGCATGGGGGAACTATGGCCCCCTTCATGACTGGTGGACTTCAACTCCCAGAATTCCTGAGCCAGCATGGCTCAGCATGGAAACCTCTCCCTTTCCCCTCAGCATGGCTGGCTCAGGAATTCTGGGAGTTGAAGTCCACAAGTCATGAAAGAGCCAAGGTTGCCTACCTCTGGTCTAGTGGCTAGAAAGCGGCAGACGGTGAGTTCTAGTCCTGCCTTAGGCAGGAACATAGCCAGCTGGGTGACTTTGGGTCAATCACCAGGAGACTGTGAGTTCTAGTCCCCCCTAAGGCATGAAAGCTGGCTGGATGACTGTTGGGCCAATCACTAGACTGTGAGTTCTAGTCTCACCTAAGGCATGAAAGCCAGCTGGGTGACTTTGGGCCAATCACCAGGAGACTGTGAGTTCTAGTCTCGCCTAAGGCATGAAAGCTACAGTATTTGGGTGACTTTGGGCCAATCACCAGCAGACTGTGAGTTCTAGTCCCACTTAAGGCATGAAGACCACCTGGGTGACTTTGGGCCAATCACCAGGAGACGGTGAGTTCTAGTTCCGCTTGAGGCATGAAAGCTGGCTGGGTGACTTTGGGCCAATCACCAGACTGTGAGTTCTAGTCTCGCCTAAGGCATGAAAGCCAGCTGGGTGATTTTGGACCAATCACCAGGAGACAGTGAGTTCTAGTCCCACCTTAGAAAAAATGGCATTTTGACCCTATCTATAGACACAGTAGACACTCCTGTGCCGGACTCAAAACCCAACATTCTCTTGATTCAAACCATGAATCCTGGTTTGTTCAGCTGATTTTGCTTCTTTTTTTTTCAGGTTGGTCCATGGACTGCCTGCAGGAGTGGGGGCTCTTCATGTCGCTGGCGATTCCCAGCATGCTGATGATTTGCATTGAGTGGTGGACCTTTGAAATCGGAAGCTTTCTGATAGGTCAGGAGTGGGCAGGGGGAGGAGCTATGGTTGGGGGGCGGGCCCAAAAGGCAGGACACTCCCTTTCTCCCAGGTGGGTGGGGCAATAAATATTGCTGTAGTGGGGAATGTCGAAACAGGTAGTCCTCGATTTACGACTGTTCATTTAGTAACAGTTTGAAGATACAGCGGCGCTGAAAAAAGTGACTTGTGGCTCTTCCTCACATTTATGACCATCACAACTTGTCTAGGATTTGAAGATCAAAATCCAAGCGCTTGTCAACTGGAATATACAGATAGCTCTCGACTTACGACAGTTCGCTTAGGGACTATTCAAATTACAATGGCACAGAAAAAGTTACTTAGGACCGTTTTTCACACGACTGTTGCTGCATCCCCGCAGTCACGTGATCAAAATTAGGCTTTTGGAAACTGACTCATATTTATGACGGTCGCAGTGTCCCGGGGTCACGTGATCCCCTTTTGCGACTTTCTGCCAAGCAAAGATCCATGGAGAAGCCGGATTCACTCAACAAGCGTGTTCCTTGTTTAACAACAGCAGCAATTCACTTAACAATGGTGGCAAGAAAGGTCGTAAAAAGGAACAAAATTCACTTAACAACGGTCATTTTTGGGTTCCATTGTGGTCCTACGTCGTAGAGGGCTACCTGCATTTTCAAGGGTCGCAGCATCTCCACTTGCAACTTTCCCAGCTGGCTTCCAACAAGCAGTGATGGAAGCCAGACTCACTCAGTGCCCACATGGTTGTAAAACTGAGTGCGATTCACTTAGCAACCGTCCTGCTTAGCATCAGTAATTCGGGTTCCAATTGTGCTTGGAGATTCTGGACTACCTGTAATATTCCTTGCAGGATCCCTCAAGGATGAATGAGCTCCAAAAGGTCAAGAAGGCAGCTTAGCCACCATTTAAAGCAGGGGGTTGGACTAGAAGACCTCCAAGGTCCCTTCCAACTCTGCTATTCTATTCTATTCTATTCTATTCTATTCTATTCTATTCTATTCTAGTCTAGTCTAGTCTAGTCTAGTCTAGTCTAGTCTAGTCTAGTCTATTCCTGTTTTTATTCTATTCTATTCTATTCTATTCTATTCTATTCTATTCTATTCTATTCTATTCCTGTTTTTATTCTATTCTATTCCTGTTTTTATTCTATTCTATTCTATTCTATTCTATTCTATTCTACTATTCCATTCCATATTTTCTATTCTATTCTATTCTACTATTCTATTCTACTATTTTATTCTATTCCTATTCTATTCATATTCTATTCTATTCTGTTCTGTTCTGTTCTGTTCTATTCTATTCTCAATAAAGATTCTATCCTATCCTATCCTATCCTATCCTATCCTATCCTATCCTATCCTATCCTATCCCATCCCATCCCATCCCATCCCATCCCATCCTATCCTATCCTATCCTATCCTATCCTATCCTATCCTAGACATTTTAGACCTCTTCCCTATATAAATATTCCCTGGATATTTATTTATTTATTTATTCATTAATTCATTCATTCATTAATTAATTCATTCATTCATTCCCCATAATTTTTTTTTTAAATTTCAGGCCTCCTCAGCGTGCTGGATCTTTCTGCACAATCCATCATCTATGAAATCGCCACCGTTGCGTATATGGTAAGCATTTCCCGTCCGCCATTACCACCACAACAGTGCAACGAGAGGCTGTCCACCCAGAGCTTCCGCAGCGCCTGCCCAAAAAAATTAGGCCAAGGCCTGCCATCTTGACTTTTTTCGACCCTCTTTGGCAGACCCCTCAAATTAGCCACCCAACATGTACATTTTCCTGCGTTTATGCTTTGTCTCGGCTCTCGTTGATACACAGGGACAGCTCGTCTTTGAGTCATGACCGTTTATTTAAAGACCAGGTGTAATTACCAGGGTGCGGGGAAAAATGACTTATGACCGGTCCTCACACTTATGACCATTGCAGCATCCCCAGGGTCACAAGATCCATATTCAGACGCTGGGCAACTGACTCATGTTTATGACGGTTGCAGTGTCCCGGAAGGGGAAGGGGGGATAAAAGCCGGCTTCCAACCAGCAAAGTCAAAGGGGAAAGATGGATTCGCTTAACGACCACGTGACTCACTTCATGACTACCCAAAAAGGTCGTAAAACCAGGCGCCGGACGACCGTATCACTTAGCGACCAAAGTTCCAGTGGCAATTGTGGTCGTAAGTCGAGGGCTACCTATAGTCCTCTTTAAACAGCTGCCTCATTTACTGACTGTTCACATTCACAACCATGAGGGAAAAAATTACGATCTTCTCAGGACTTTACAGCAAAACAAAGGTGGAAGTCAGATCATAAGCACAGTCGCCGTTCCACTTAGCGATGTTTCGCTGAACGACCGGTTTGCCGGGCCCAATTATGGCCACTAAACTATCGGTACCATCCATTACAGGTGAGTCCTCGCTTTACGACAACAATGGAGCCCAAAACTGACATTGCTAAGGGAGACCGCTGTTCGGCGAGCTTCGCCCCTTTTTTTACGACCTGCCTTGCCGCAGCAATTAAGCCAATCCCTGCAGCCGTTAAGTGAGTAAAACGGTTGTTAAGTGAATCCGGATCCCCCGTTGACTTGGCTTGTCAGGAGGGGATCGTGTGAGCTCTGTGACCGTCATAAGTATGAGCCATTTGCTAAGCGTCCAAATTTGGACTGTGCGACCGTGGGGATGGCTGCAAACGATCACAAGTGTGAAAAATTGTGCTTTTTCTCAGTTCCCTTGTAACGTAAACGGTCACTAAATGAATGGTTGTAAGTCCAGGACTCTAAAAAAAATAAAAATCAATAAATCCAGGCTGGTGAAGGATTTTATCAAGACAGGAACTGAACTCACCAGGTCTGTTAAGTCTCGGCTCTGCTTTCTTTGCCTCGGTTTAGATTCCCTTTGGGATCGGGGCCTCGACCAGCGTCCGAGTGGGCAACGCCTTAGGAGCCGGGAAGGCAGAAGAAGCCCGGAGGTCATCGGTGGTCGCCATCTTTTGCACAGGTATCATCCTGGGGCTGGTAGAAAGAACGGAAGCCAGGGGAAGCATAAACCAGCATTTCAGAGTCAGAATAGAGCTGGAAGGGACCTTGGAGGTCTTCTAGTCCAACCCCCTGCTCAAGACAGGAGACCTTACACCATCCTGGTCAAAGGGTTCTCTAAGGTTTTCTTGACAACCTCCAATGATGGAGCACCCACAATTCCGGGAGAGTTTGTTCCTTCCCCCTCTCCATCCATTCCTCCATCCATCCATCCATCCATCCATCCATCCATCCATCCATCCAAGTGACTGTCTAGTCTCTTCTTAAAAACCCCCAGTGATGGAGCACTCACAACTTCTGGTGGCAAGCTGTTCTCCTAGTTAACTATCCTCACTGTTAAGTTTCTCCTTAATTCAGGTTGCTTCTCTCCTTGATTAGTTTCCGTCCACTGTTTCTTGTCCTGCCTTCAGGTGCTTTGGAGACTATAGGGCAGTGGTGGCGAACCTATGGCACGGGTGCCAGAGGCAGCACTCAGAGCCCTCTCTGTGGTCACGCGCGCTGTCGCCCCAGTCCTAGGCCTTCAGCTGGGTTTTATAAAACCTTTTCGCTTTAGGCCTCCGCCGCCGTGTGCAAAAAAAAAAAAAGGTTCAATCAGTCAATTTCAACTTCTCGCGGGAAAAAAAAGATCTTGCAAAGTTGGAATTGATTGATTGAACTTTTTAGTCCCACCCAGTCTGCCGTTACTACCGCAGCCACGCCCACCCAATGGGCCACACCCACCCAATTGGCCACATCCAGCCAATGGGCCACACTCAGCCAATGGGCCACACCCACCCGGCACTCGACGATGGATAAGTGGGTTTTGGGTTGCAGTTTGGGCACTCGGTCTCTAAAAGGTTTGCCATCACTGCTATAGGGTGACCCCCTCTTCCTGGTGGCAACTCCCCAAATATTGGAAAACTGCTATTATCTCTCCCCTAGTCCTTCTTTTTTGTAGACTAGCCAAACCCAAGTCCTGCAACTGTTCTTCTTATGTTTTAGTCTCCAGGCCTTTGATCATCTTAGTTGCTTCTGAAGGCAAGCCATTCCATTGGTTGATTTCTCTCATCATTAGGAAATACCTCCTTAATTCCAGGTTGCTTCTCTCCTTGGTTAGTTTCCATCCGTTGCTTCTCGTCCTGCCTTCATGCGCTTTGGAGAATAGCTGGACTCCCTCTTCTTTGGGGCAGCCCCTGAGATATTGGAAGACTGCTATCATGTCCCCCCTTGTCCTTCTCTTCATTGAACTAGACATACCCAATTCCAGCAACCGTTCTTTGTATGTTTTAGTCTCCAGGTCTTTAATCATCTTAGCTGCTCTTCTCTGCAATTTCTCAACCTTGGTGACTTTAAGATGAGCAGAAATGAGTGCAGCCTGGATCAGGGGACATGGATCTTGTGGAATATGACGCTCTTACTTGCAGCTGTTGAGCTACCTGATACATTCCTCTCTTTGGGAATCATGTCATTGGCAAGACTTCCAGTTGTCTTGCTGGACAGCCATTTGTCCGAAATGGTATAGGGTTTCCTGCCTGAGCAGGGGGTTGGACTAGATGACCTTCAAGGTCCCTTCCAACTTTATTTTTATTATTATTATTATTATTATTATTATTATTATTATTATTATTATTATTATTATTATTATTATTATTATTATTATTATTATTATTATTATTATTATTATTATTATTAATGTTGTGGCATAACTACAGCCTGATGAGTAGGATTCTGAAGAAGTAGATATAACACAGAAGAGGTGTTTTCCCAATGTTTTGTGATATGGCTCTCACAGTCCCTCAATCCTTCATCGTGCTACTTTAGTTTAACAATAACAATAATAATAAAGTTGGAAGGGACCTTGGAGGTCATCTCCTCCAACCCCCTGCTCAGGCAGGAGACCCTATACCATTTCAGACAAATGTCTGTCCAGTCTCTTCTTAAAAACTTCCAGTGTTGGAGCATTCACAGCTTCTGGAGGCAGGTTGTTCCACTGGTTAATTGTTCTAACTGTCAGGAAGTTTCTGCTTAGTTCTAGGTTGCTTCTCTCCTTGGTTAGATGGTGCCCGGCACCACACAACTGAAGCCCAACATTGTATTTACATGCAGTGAACATTAAGAATGGATGGGGCTTTGGTCCCACCATCATCGACACCATCTTGACTTTTTTGACACAGCCATTTGCAGATCCTTCTGAGTTAGGGACCATAGTATAACACAGTAGTGAGTAACTATGGTCACCTTTAAGAGGGGCTCTATAACAAGAGGAACAAGAGATTTAAGTAATATAGTATGTTTTACAATAGATGAAATGTAAAAATATTGGGATGATGTAACTTTTATAAATATAAGCGCAGCTGCCAAAAAAGCCAACACAGTGCTAGGCTGCATTAACAGAGGGACAGAATCAAGATCACGTGAAATGTTAATACCACTTTACAAGGCCTTGGTAAGGCCACACTTGGAATACGGCATCCAGTTTTGGTCACCATGATGTCAAAAAGATGTTGAGACTCTAGAAATAGTACAGAGAAGAGGAACAAAGATGATTAGGGGACTGGAGGCTAAAACATATAAGGAACGGTTGCTGGAATTGGGTATGTCTAGTTTAACGAAGAGAAGGACGAGGGGGGACATGATAGCAGTGTTCCAATATCTCAGGGGTTGCCCCAAAGAAGAGGGAGTCAAGCTGTTCTCCAAAGTGCCTGAAGGCAGGACAAGAAGCAACGGGTGGAAACTAATCAAGGAGAGAAGCAACCTAGAACTAAGGAGAAATTTCCTGACAGTGAGAACAATTAACCAGTGGAACAACCTGCCTCCAGAAGTGGTGAATGCACCAACACTAGAAGTTTTCAAGAAGAGACTGGACAGCCATTTATCCGAAACGGTATAGGGTTACCTGCCTGAGCAGGGGGTTGGACTTCATGACCTCCAAGGTCCCTTCCAACTTTTTATTATTACTATTATTATTATTATTATTATTATTATTATTATTATTATTATTATTATTATCTGATCAGAAAGGATGTTATACCCAGATGTTATAAGGTAGACAAGAAGCACAGTATTTTTATAATACATGAAGTATGAAAATATTGGAAAAATTTGGATACTTAGATGATTAAAACTGAGAAAATCATGACTGATAAGAATGGATTGAAAAAAAGGGGAAATTAAGCTTAAAAATTACAAAAATAGGATGCATGGTGAACTAATGAGATGATGGTTATAAGAATAATATACGGTAAGCAGATAAAAAATGTTATACATAGATGTTATCACTATTTGTATAAATATGAAAAAATGTCTATAATTAATCATTTATATATTGAAAATATGAAGAATTATATTTGTTTAAACTTGAAGAAGGAGAATACAAATGGAAGAAGGGAAGATCAAAGAAATATATTATTAATTAATATACTAATTATAGAATTAACAAATTTAATCATTATTGACTGTTAATTAATTATTATTGCCTTTTTTTCTTTTTTCTTTCTTTTTTTCTTTCTCAAATATATAAACCAAGACAACACGCGGTACACCAGGCCCTGGAGATTATTATTGTTAAAGACCAATAAAATATTTTAAAAAATAAAATAAAATAAAATAAAACTGTGGTCCCCTATAAGACCTGTGGACTTCAACTCCCAGAATTCCTGAGCCAGCCAACATGGCTGGCTCAGGAATTCTGGGAGTTGAAGTCCACAGGTCTTAAAGGGGACCATACAGTAATTGCCCTTCCTGGACTTATGTTGTGATTTTTCTTAATTTCTCTCTTTCTAATGCTCTGGATAGCAGGATAGGCAGCAGATAAAATTGAATGAACAAATAAATAAAATTTATCTTGGAATGGCTTCAACTCCCATTCTTTCCCTGATGTTTTTTGCTTTTTTTTTCTCTCTAGTGGGATTCGTCGTTCTGATGTGTCTTGCGATGATAGCCTCGAAAGACGTTTTGGCCTACATTTTCACCAGTGAAAAGTAAGTGTGACAATCTGGGAGTGGAAGTCTGCAGGTCTTAAAACTGCAAAGACTGGACACACACACACACACCCCGGCTTAGAGGATGTTGCTGCTGATGCTGATTTTATTCTATTTGTCCAAACAGGGAAGTGGTTGACCTGGTGGGTTATGTGATGCCGGTCTACATCGCCTTCCACCTGTTTGAAGCTCTTTGCGTGAGTCCATTTCTTTTGTTGAAAGAAACATCTTCATTGTGGTTCAGTCCAAGCTGGGAATAAATTGCAACCTTCTTTCTAAAGCAGTCACCATGTTTATTTCCAGCTTGGCAGTTTATTCCCAGCTTGGACTGAACCACTTTTTTTCACTTCTTTTCACAGGCCAGGATGGGGTTAAATTTAAGCTGGAGTTCACCCCTAACACATCCTCAAATATATTAGATAATCCAAGGCAACTGTGGTTCGTTTAGTTAAACCACCGGTAACCAAACCATGGCTTAAGGGAGTATGTGAAAATAGCCTCTGGTGTGGACTGGAATGTGTGGACTTCCACTCCCAGAATTCCCCAGCCAGCCTGCTTTATGATGGGAGGACTTCCACTCCCAGAATTCCCCAGCCAGCATGCTTCAAGATGGGTGGACTTCCACTCCCACAATTCCCCAGCCAGCATGCTTTAAGATGGGTGGATTTCTACTCCCAGAATTCCCCAGCCAGCATGCCTTAAGATGGGTGGACTTCCACTCCCAGAATTCCCCAGCCAGCCTGCTTTAAGATGGGTGGATTTCTACTCCCAGAATTCCCTAGCCAGTCTGCCTTACTTTAACTCCCAGAATTCCCCAGCCAGCACAGTGGGGACTTCTGGGAGTTGAAGTCCACACACCTTCAATTTGCAGAGGTTCAGGAATTCTCTTGTAACCCATCCTCCTTTTCCTCTCTCGCAGGCCACAACCAGCGGGGTGCTGCGTGGCACCGGAAGGCAGAAACTGGGTGCCATTTTCAACATGCTGGGCTACTACACCGTCGGCCTGCCCTTGGGGGTTGTGCTACTTTTCGTCGCCAAAATTGGCATGATAGGTATTGGCAGAGATTTCCCCTGGCAGCCTTGTTTAGGGAGTCCTCAAGTTACGACCATAATTGAGCCCCACGATTAGGGTCGCGAGTCGTGACAGTCGTAAAGCAGGTCATCACATGACCGGATCTGATTTTTACAATCTTTTTCACATCGGTTGCTAAGCAAACTCACTATTTGCTAAGCGAAGGTTTCTGTCAGAAACTGGAATGCTGGTTTTGAGGAAAAAATCGTCATAAACCATGGTCAGCTGATGAGGGGATTCTTCCAATGTGGGCTAGTTGCCAAGTGCCCAAAATATGGACATGTGACCATGTGGGGGGAGGGGCAGACATCACAACTTCAAACCTAAGATGCGAGTCCCTTTTTCATTTCCACTTAGCGACTTTGAACGGTTGCTAAGCGATCGGTCGTAAGTTGAGGACTATCTGTAGGTAACTAATACAGTGGTCCCTTGGTACTCAACTGCTTTGAAACGCGTCGAATTTCGAACTCAGAGCGTTTTGACCCTAAAATGTTGCCCCGCTACTCATTGTTGGTTTGGTATTCAACGCAACAAGCTAGAACGTGTCGATATCGGCTGCTTTGTGAGTCACAACAACTTTATTGTCACTTCGAATGTACACCAATCGGGATACATCAAAATGAAATTTCGTTGCATACAGCATGGCTCAGCATGGACACCTCTCCATTTCTCCTCAGCATGGCTGGCTCAGGAATTCTGGGAGTTGAAGTCCACAAGCCATAAAAGAGCCATAATTCCCCCATGCTGGCTCAGGAATTCTGGGAGTTGAAGTCCACGAGTCATAAAAGAGCCAAGGTTGCCTACCCCCTGCCTGAGCAGGGGGTTGGACTAGATGACCTCCAAGGTCCCTTCCAACTTTATTATTATTATTGTTGTTATTATTATTATTATCATTATTACTTTTCTCATTGTAACTTCAAACGGTTGCTAAACGAACGGTCATAAATTGAGGAGTTTGCGATTTTTTTTCAGTCTCTCCTCCCCGTGGTTTTTTTTTTTTTATTATTATTATTAAAAGTTTTATAACATTTACAAAATAAACCCCCTTCCCACCCCCCAAAACCCCCCACACACACCCCCCCCACTTCCCAGAGCTGTTCACAGGGTTACAAATATATTAATCAGAATCTAACTAACATTATCCAACTAATTATGTAACCAAATCTATAACGCACTTTAACTCCCTTTTAAAATAAATTTAGATAATTTAAAATGAAACACAATAACAAAACAAATAATCAACTTAATTATTAAACAAAATTACTACTCAAAATAATAATAATATCAATATAATAAAATATAATTAAAAAATATAAAAAATATAATAAAATGTTCACAATAACAATACTGTAAAATTTACTCAAACACCAAATGGAACTTTTCAGTCCCATATTTATTATACTTCCCGTGGTTTTTCTTCTTAGGGTTTTGGCTGGGCATGCTGATATGCACCTTGATCCCCTGTTTCTGCTCCATCACGTACATTATCCGGATGAACTGGCTGCAGGTAGCTGAAGAGGTAAGACCGGCTCCCCCTCCGCTCCAACCACTAGGGGACACTCCCCCTGCATTCCGATTTCTAGTTCCCTTTTCCTTTCCTTCCCATCCCGGTCATTCTCACTCGTTTTGCGCTGCTCGACTTACCACCATCACCCAGCCCAGACTTATAAGTCATAACTCACGCCGGTCATTAAACAAGTTGCCGTGTAACCATGCCTAGTTTGATGACCTGTTTTTTTTTACGGCGGTTCTTAAGTGAAGCAAACGCGGTGGTCCTTACACAAACATCACGGTCGTTAATAGGGTTCCCTGCCTGAGCAGAGAGTTGGATTAGAAGACCTCCAAGGTCTCTTCCAACTCCTATTCTATTCTATTCTTCCTGTTTCTATTCTATTCTATTCTATTCTATTCAATATTCAATATTCTATTCTATTCTATTCAATATTCTATTGTATTCAATATTCTATATTCTATTCTATTCTATTCTATTCTATTCTATTCTATTCTATTCTATTCTATTCTATTCTATTCTATTCTTCCTGTTTCCATTCTATTCTATTCAATATTCTATTCAATATTCTATTCTATTCTATTCTTCCTGTTTCCATTCTATTCTATTCTATATTCTATTCTATTCTATTCACTGTTCTATTCTATTCTATTCACTATTCTATATTCTATTCTATTCTTCCTGTTTCTATTCTATTCTATTCTATGCTATGCTATGCTATTCCATTCCATTCTTCTGTAATTCTATTCCATTCTGTAATTCTATTCTATTCTATTCTTCCTGTTTCTATTCTATTCTATTCTATGCTATGCTATTCCATTCCATTCTTCTGTAATTCTATTCCATTCTGTAATTCTATTCTATTCTATTCTTCCTGTTTCTGTTCTATTCTATTCTATTCCATTCCATTCTGTAATTCTATTCCATTCTGTAATTCTATTCTATTCTATTCTATTCTATTCTATTCTATTCTATTCTATTCTATTCTATTCTATTCTATTCTATTCTATTCTGTAATTCTATTCTATTCTATTCTATTTTGAATTCTATTCTATTCTGAATTCTATTCTATTCTATAACTGTAATTTCAAAATGTAATTTATAACCTATATATAATTTCTTGAACTCCACATACCTTATGAAATTGTCTACATATTTCCATCATACGTGTTTCCAGGCATTCCATCAGCCGAGGGCCCGGGGTAGGGGCGGGGGGGTTGCGGTCATTATAAGGGAGAGCCTGCGTCCAAGGGAGGCCACTGTGCCTCAGATAGACGGTGTGGAGTCCCTCCTTGTGAAGTGGGGGCAAGGGGTGCAAGTGGGCCTGTTGATAATATACCTGGCTCCCTGCTATGTGTCAACGGCCCT